ATTATCAGTTGTGTTAAACATATAGCTACACTCATTAATCTTAAGGTAACATGAGACATAACACTAAATCGAACATCATTTTGAATCATTCACATGGAAATCAAAATAGGAACCTCAAAACAGAGAGACGGACGACAACTAGGAGCCGAAAACGATTGGAAATGAGACAGCATGAAGCAAGTTCGCAAACTCGAATTTAAACAGTCGCGCTATAATCAAAATAAACACACTTCAAGCTCATATTGGATCACATGGCTGACTAGAGAGAAATTAATCACTACATTCTCTTATACATGTAAAAAGATTAGATGAATGGGGAGGTTTTCGCTCATCATGAATGAGAATATTCAACTCCAAATTTAAAATTTGTCATAAGTCAAAAGGTGAAGCAAGTCGAGAATAACTAGCGCTTTAAAACCTTTTCAAATCAAACGAATACAACAAGCTACACAGATCGACTACTTGACAACTAAAATGCTTGAACAAAAAAAATAAAAAAAAATAAAAAAAAAAATAACTCTAACTTCATTCAATACTGATTATATTTGTCCTAAGATGGTAGAAAATGATGAAATTAAAGACATAAATATCTCACATATAAATTAGACAGTTCAAAAATAGGCAAAAAATAAAAAATAAAATTTAAGCTACTGAAAACATACTTAAACAGCTAACGCCAAACAAGATTTCAAGAGCCAACAAAATGCTGAAATAAAGAGAAGATTACCTGGCTCGGGGCAGCGAACTGGACGGATGAGTTTGACGGAGACGATTCCACCTCTTTCAACTCAAACAACCACAACAAATTAAACTATTGAACCAAGATTTCCCAAACCTTTTAGGGTACTCTCAGGTCTCGAAAAAAAACCCTCCTTTGAACAGTGAGCAAAGAGGGTATTTATAAGGAAAAACTAGGGTTCGGAATTTGGGAAAAGGGCCGAGAAGTTGGATAAGAACAAGGCCCACAAATTTTGAAAATTCCCCCTCAAATTCTCTCCAAGGACGGAAGAATATACCGAATTGATCCTCATTTCAAACGGATTGGAATGAGGTGGAGGGTCTCGATCGATTGAGAGTCCTTGAGATGCTATGTGCCTCAATCTCACACCACAAGGACGAAAATGCGTGCTGCTTTTACTGGAATCACGGCTGGAACAGTACTATCGGAGAGGGACGTTGAGGAAGAAGACAAGAAAAGGCAGCGTACTGCCTGTTGCCGCTGCTTTCCGTCCGTCTCCGTGAGATTTCCGTGTGCTGCTGTTTGCCTTTGTTGTTTGGAATAGTTGTTGAACTCTTTGCTGAACAAAAGAAATGGGCCGGGTTAAGGGGAAATGGATTGGCTTGGTGGGCTGGAAATTATGGAAAAGGGGCTATTGATTTGAGTATAGGGCTGATTAGAATGTTGTTGTTATAATGGGTTTCTGTTGAATGTTGGAAATATTGGGCCGGTTTGGAATTTGAGAGGAAATGGCCCAAACTTGGCTGAAAATTTGTGGGAAAAGAGTTGATGTTAGATCTTAAAATTGGTTCAAGTTAGAAGCCAAAAGATGAGTTAGATTTGCAATTGGAGAGATGACCATAGGAATTTTAATTTAGCCATTTCAAATTAATTTGTAAATTCGGTTAAAAATTAAAAAAGACAAATTAATTAAATTAACTAACGAGCTTTTTAATTTTAACGAAATAAAATAATTAACTTAACTAATTAACTCAAAAATATGTACTATTACTTAACTAAATTAATTAACGCAAAATCTTTTGAGACGATTTTTGAATATTTATAAAATATACTAATAATGTACATAATTACATAAAATACATTTATTATTTAAAAATTATAAAATATAATCAAAATTACTTTAAAATAACTTGAGAGACATTTTAAAAATATATAAAGTCAATTATTTCAAATCGTTTGAAATTAAAGAAGCTCGTGTTAATCTATAATGTGGAGGATCAAAATTGGGTGTCAACAATCCCCTCGTGGCAAATTTATTATGATATAACATGTTTGATCATCAAGTTTTGGAAAGTTAATTAAAAGTGATTATATTTTTAAAACATGGATATTTATTTAAGATAATTATTAGGCAAATATCATGATGGAGTATAATGAGATTTATTTACTTAGATATCTCTGATAAGAATATTTCTTTTTATCATAAGTGCCACACGATGTATATTTAATTTAGATATAGTCCAACCAACAAATTATATTCATCCTAAAAAATAATACAACAAAAAATGTTTATATTAAGAGTAATATTTTGAGTATAAAAACACTTAAAAGGCTAAAGGTACCATGTTAGAAAATGCCAAGAGACCAAAAAAGGAAGAACTGTCAAATAAAATTTTAATGGGCCCCACTTTATTGGATGAGTCAATTTAAAAAGTTGCATAAAAAGGGTGTGTAGTAAACATTTAAGTAAGGACCACACTTTGTAAAAAAGCACATGGCGCTTAGTAGTTAAGTACCAGCTAGGTCCATAAGTCAGAGTAGTAGTACATTTTGAGTTTTGAAAAAGGACGTATGAATAAATACATAAATATGTGTTGGCTTTTTTTGTCCAACAGAGCAATAAAACAATAAAATAATAATGATAACAGTTGGTACAAGTCAGTTACAACAATTATGTTTGATAATACCTAATTTACCCCTTGGTCGGCAAGCAGCCATGTTGACGAAGAGTTGCTTGCCGTAGACTCTTATATATAGTAGTAAAGTAATACAGGGGTGTTGCAGTGTAACGACCTGATCTCGTCGTTAAGAAAAAGCCAATGGGCAAAGAATTGGGGTCAAAAAACTTTTTCGTAGTATTTGGATTTTTCAAACTTTGTCCAGATTTGGACGAAATCGAAGTCATCGAGGTGTAGGAAAATCTGGTAACAATCGGGTAAATCATTTATGATTTTGATTACATGAGTGGTTAGATAACTCGTTAAGGAATTCGTACGACGTTACAGAATTAAATTCGGGCGAGAAGAACTTTCGGAATTGATCTTAGCCGTAAAGGGTATTTTCTGAGCGTCGTTGGTTAGAGGTGTGTTGTGAAATGGGGATTTTGGAATTTTTTAAATAGCTCACTGGTTTGAGAATGCCGCTTTGGCGCTGAGTTTTGCCGCTGTGGCGGGCCCGACACGACTTAAGGTCGTTAATAAACCCCTAAACGACCTCATTATGAACTTTTCGACTTTTAGAGCTAAAGAATGAACCCCAGGCGACTCCTACTCATTTTTCACCATTCTTGAGGCTAAAGGTAAGCTTTTCACTCCCCGAATCCATTTTTCGATCCGTGGAACGTAATAGAATGGATAAATATGGATGGGGGAGGTTTTTTTTTATATAGATTTTATGGTGGAAACAACCCTAAATTCGGTATTAGGATCATGGGCTTGGTCTAGGGTTATTAGGTTTGTTATAATTCGGATAATTAGACCTTTGATTGTTGATCCTTGCGTTAATTGTATGTTTTTAGACCACGAACAAGCGGAAAGAATCCGGAAAGGGAAGATTCAAGTGCCTTAAAGGATTCAAGCTTGGATTCGAGGTAGGTGATGGTTGTGATTCTATGATTGTTTAATGTATATGTATTCTTGCTTCATTATGATACATGTATGTATATGAATGTTGCATTATTTATCACACTTGTTGTAAAAGAGATAGATGAATGATGATTACCATGAAATCATGACTTAATTGTATGATCTTGAGGATATACTTGTGATTGTGATTGTGGTGTGTTGAATGGATCGGTTTCCATGTTCTGGCATAACTAATTGGGATCAGTTGCCACGTTCCGGCATAAATATATGATCGATTGCCACGTTACGGCATAAACATTGGATCGGTTGCCACATTCCGGCGCACACTAACTTGGATCGGGTACCATGAACCGGTATGCTAACTGTCTGGATTTGGGTTTCATGAGAGGACCATTGAATTGTGTTGTGTATCTACTTGTGATGAGTTCGTTCATATGTAATGATGATTGATATTGGAGGACAGTATGTTGCTCTAAATTGATATAACTGTGATATGTGAGAATCGTGAAGTTGTTCATTGTTCGTATATGTTGATGATATTGTATATGTTCGAATGTGCATGTGATCATATTGTTGTATTGACTAATGTATGTTACACTTAATGGGATAGCCGCGTGATCCTACCAATACGCTGTGGTTGTGTATTGATACTGCATTTTCTCTTTCTTGTTGAGTATAGGGCATCTTCAGGCGGCTATTGATAGATCTCAGCTAGGTGACTATTGAGCGTGATCGGATTCAAAGGTGAGCCAGTTCTTTCGAGTTGCCATGGATCTTTCTTGTTTAAGTCCACTCTTTTCGGACTCAGACTTAAAAAAAATGTACATAGCTGTTCCAGCTGAAATACTTGGAATAATTCTACCACTTCTACTAGGAGTAGCCTTTTTAGTGCTAGCTGAACGTAAAGTAATGGCTTTTGTGCAACGTCGAAAGGGTCCTGTTGTACCCCTTGTTCTTAGACTTGTCGTTAGTAGAGTTTTGGTACATTGACTTTCAGGTTCTAGGGGTTGTTCTTCCGCATTAGTTTGGTTAAGTTAATTGTTTAAATGGGAACTCCGTATTTTTTATTGTCATTTAAACCTGCTTCTGTACTTTAAATGCCTTAGTTTTCATAAAATTTGTTTGTTTGGGTTGTAGTAATGGTTCTCCCACCAGAGGGTTAGTGTGGGTGCCAATCACGACGGTCTGAGTCGTGACATACAGGTTAATGATAAAATAAATATATCTTTATTAATATATCACAATTAATAGATATTTATTTTGAACAAATTTTTTTTATCTCATATAACAATAATAATTTCTTGACATAACTTAATTTATTATATCCGTCAAAATATTAATAAACAACCATACAATATTTAAATAAATAAACAAAAGATAATCCATAGATATAAATAATTATGGAGAAATTAACAGATTCAAATTAAAGCATCTCCATTATAATAATAATAATAATAATAATAATAATAATGTAATTAGCTTAAACGATGTCATGAATTTTAGTAACAGCTGCCATGAATTTAGTATCGTATCCCATGGCATGCAAAGTTTGAGGGGTCAAACAAGCTTGAATGTCGATACTTGCTTGTTCTGCACCACAAAAGATTGTAATTTTCCCATCATGTTTGTTGCCAGCACCACTTCTGACAGCAACAGGTCTCCCCCATCCAAAATCACTGTCGTACACATTGAAATGCGGCGAGCTGCTAGCAATCAAGCTATTAGAAACCACTTCACTCTTTTTCACTATTTTTGGATTCTTCACCCAACTTTGGTAAAAATTCATAACTTCTTCATGGGTTTGCGTGGATACTACCTTATTCATTTGCAAAGCAGCCCAACCTGAATCATGCTCCAATATCTCCCTAGCGGTGGTTGTGATGTTGACAAAATGCACAGCATTTCCAAAATAGCCTTGAGGTAAAGGCGGCTGAAGCCTTGGCCTTGCACCTATAAGTAATTTGAAACTAAAATTTTCGTCAGCGTTACGGCAACGGATAACAGATTGCCAGAGATGAGCCAAAAGAGCTTGTAATGAAGAGATACAAATTATATTTTGGTCGTCGTTTCCATATTTAGAATTGGCTTTGGCTTTGAGGTGAGCTATGTTCTCCTTGCTAAAATGGAAAACTCTTTCTTCTAACAAAGGTACATCATATTCATCTTCATGTACATCATGTTTCTGTACATGAATTGGACTAGCAACAAATTCAGGAAACCAACGATCCAGAACCGGTGGTTTATTAACAATAAGCTTAGAATTGCTATTGCGTGTTATTTCAGACCAACAATTGAAGAAATGCCAAAATGAAGTCCCATCTGCTACACAATGATTGATAGTGCAACCAATGAAGATTCCGTCCACTAGCTCAGTCACTTGAACGGCCAACAATGGTTTCGAAACACCTACAATATATATATAGTAATTAATTAAGATGAATAATCACAAAGTACATTATTATTATATTAACTAACCTTCATAGTTGCGTACTCCATTGAGTGGAAAAAAATACTTGACAATCTTTGGGACGTAAGTTTGTTCCAAGATATCAGCCACATTCAAGTCAGGTACTGCAGTGACATGTGTGAATTCAGCTCCTTCATTGCTGCAATCAACAAAGAAAGATAAGGTGTCATCATCATCACTGTTTTTACTAGCAACAAGTCGACCCGCGAGGACAGGAAAATAGTTTAGAGTATTAGAGAGTGAAATTTTTAGGCGATTCATAATAATTTCTGATGATTGTTTTGGTTTACGAAAAACTAATCCTTTTTGGATAGGATCGGAGTTGAAGATCCCATGGAGTTAACTCGATTTTTTTTTCTATGGATTTTTGGGACCTAATTACACATGTTGATACTACTTCAAGTTTTGTCATCTCTCAATATTGGCAGTTCCACAACCCTAAACTGACGACAATTCACTTATACTTATTATGGCTCATGCCTCACATGTCTATATATAGAAGGCTATACCTCCTGTTTTTCCATTAAGATAATGCTACTATTTAATTATTACTTTTTCATTTTTTATACAGTTAAAATGCACAGCATTTCCAAAATAGCCTACATATTACTACAAAATTCGCAATATTATAAAAATACACCAAACACTAAATAGACAAATTAATAACAAAAATTGAGCCACAAAAATTGAATCAGACTCTTAAATAGAACAAAAAATAACATAAACTACAAAATTTGTACTTCCAAATGTGAGTCCCTGTTATATACGTTATATTTTCACAATTCCAATTGAATTTAACAATTAAAATTTGGTAAATACCTTATAAAGATTAAAAGTGCTCACTTTTAATAAATTTAAAAGACAAAAAATGCTTAAATTCTAATACTTAAAGTGACTATTTTGAGTCTACCATCGTAGATAAGGGACCATTTTTGTCATTTTCTCTTCAAGATAGAGATAATTTTTTGATTTTGAATCAATGGGCATAAATGTCATAGTATTAACTAATTTCAATTTACAACCATATGTATTAGAAGAAAGTGAATTTTTGCAATTCCAGACATTTACCTTCACCCCAATAACAAATAATTAAGATTTCTTGATGGTCACTTATAAAATGAATAGAAAAAATAGCATTTTTTAGTAAGAGTAATATAATCTTTTTTAAAAATAAAATAATAATAGCTGATTTAAAAGACCAAATATCTTAGCATACTATTTTATAAAATCAAATTCATACTATTTTCTTGAATTTATTGAATTATTGATAACAAAACTAATTATTTTTCTAAGAAAATTTAAAATTTTGAAGGTATCATCAATTACTCCTTTTCATATAACTTCAAAATTAGAAATGATAATTTTAAGAGGATCGATGAATTCCCCAAAAATTGAAAGAACTTAACTAAAATCGAATAAAAAAAATTATATGATACTTCCTAATCATCTACTTGAAATCTAATGGGTTTATCAAATTATTCGAAAAGTAAGAACATATTTAGATAAAGTTTTAAAATTAAAGAGAGTAAAACTAATAGTAGTAAAACAAGAAGAAGGTGAAGTTGTGGTAAAAATGGTGACATTGAAAGTGAGAAACTTCAATGGAGATGACAATGAATTTTTGAAGAAGAAAAAGAAAGAAAGAGAAAAAATAAAATGGAAAATAAGTTAAAATAATAAGAAAAATAAGAAAATATAGTATATAATAAAATACTTGTAAAAATAAAATTATATTAGTTATTTTAGGTTGCTCACTCTCTTTGAGAGAGTGTACACACTCTCTATGTCAGGTGGATAAAAAATGGCGTAATAATATCGGTTCAAAATTGTTTAGTGGGGTAATAGGACGTCCGCATAATTAATGTGTCTTTTTAAAAATTCAAAAAAAATTCAGGTGTCACATTATGTTTTTTTTAAAGAAATTATGACTAAGGCAGAAGTTATGCCTCAATGCATAAGTGTAGTGTCACAAGATATGTCTGAAGATAAAAGAAATTAGGTTCGAGACACAAGTTATGACCAAGGAAAAAGTCCAGTGACCTAGGGTGTGTTTGGTATGAAGGAAAATGTTTTCCTGGAAAATAAGTTGATTTTTGACTTATTTTCTCATGTTTGGTTGGTGAGTAGAAAATATTTTCCGGAAAAGATTTTTAGTGTTTGATTTATGAATGATTTTTTTTTTTTTGAGAAATATCTTTTATTTTTACTAGGGTAGAAAATAATTTTTGAAATTGAAAATATATTTTTTTT